GGGATAGCGGGAACAGGGGGCAAAGCCTGGGTCCCCTCTGCACCAGACACCGGAGTACAGAGACAGGAAGCCCCGGGCTGAAGAGACCACTGCTCGGCTGGAGAGGGAGACAGACCTAGCCATTATGTTCGTTGTCAAAAGAAGCCTGTGACAGGAGCGTTATTGTCCCCCTTTCACAGTGAGGCTCAGAGAGGCCAGGCAACTTGCCCAAAGTCACACAGTGGAGAAGTGCAAGTGAAATGCAAACCCAGAGCGCTCTGACTCTGGAACCCAGGCTCTTTCCCACTATCCCCGATCCCGGGTGTGTGGAAAGGGAAGAGCAGGTCACTCTGGGTTTACCTGACTTGCCCTGTCCACGGAATTCCTTGGTTGGGGTGGAGGGGCCACAGCCTCCTTGTGCCTGGAGTCTGGGCTTCAAGAAGGCCTTTGGTAAAATCCCCCCTGACGTCCTGTGGGCACGTGATGTGTGGGGACATGGCCCAGTGGCTGGAAGAATTCCTAATTAATGGGGCAGACTCTGAAGCCAGTCGATGGCAGAACCAAGGGAGGCAGTGACTTTGGCTATGGGGCTGGTTGTCTTTGGTTTTGTTCTGGTTAACATTTTCTTAATTACCCAAGTCACATATATCTGCTATAGAAACATATGTACACATATAATACCTTAATAAAAAAAAATGAGAAAGAAAAATAAATAAATATATGGCCTGAAATCACACACACACACACAGACAAGCAAAAAGAAAAGACCATCCTAAATTTCACAAACAACACTCACTGAACAGTCTTTTCAACTTGCTGTAACTTTGAAATTTTCATAATAAAATGTTGGGGATAAATATCCCATCACAAAACGTAAATCCACTCTTCACATTTAGAGTGCATTCTGCCAATCTCCTTTAAAATTTTTGCCCTAACCAGTTTGTCTCAGTCGATGGAGTATCGGCCTGCGGACTGAAGGGTCCCAGGTTCCATTCCGGTCAAGGGCATGTACCTTGGTTGTGGGCACATCCCCAATAGAGGGTGTGCAGGAAGCAGCTGATCAATGTTTCTCTCTTATCAATGTTTCTAGCTTCCTATCCCTCTCCCTTCCTCTCTGTAAAAAAATCAATAAAATGTATTTAAAAAAAATTTTTTTTGCATTGACCTGACATTGGTTAAAAACGTTATATAAGTTTCGAGTGCACAATTCTATCTGCCAATCTCTTTATTGCAAATAATAGCAATAAAAGGTAGCGTTTTATTGAGCACTCACAATGAGCTGGCAGTGGTGCTGAGCATCTTACAGGCATCATATTGTTAAATCCTCACAAGCCTTTACCAGGACGTTTATAACCTACCTTTCACATGACAGCTGGGCTCAGAGATGAAATCACTAGCTCTGGCCACAGAGGCTAACGCGGAGTTTGTCCCAGGATTTGCCTGACTCCAGAGCTGAGCTATGGGATCCTGTGCTCCCTAAAGTGGGCCTAGACCCCCCCCAACAGCCCCTTCCCACTTCACCCCTCTCGGGATCATCAGGACTCTTCACGCTGCTTCCCTGCTGTGTGGCTGACACCACCGGGGGCCGTGACCTAGGATGTGACCTAGCAGAAGACACAGGTCCCAGTGAAGTTCGAGATTCTCTCAGAAAATTAATGGGAAAAAATATCCTCAGGTGAGGATTAAAAAAAAGCAGAAAAAGAAAAAAGCAAGCCAAAACTACAGTATAGTCAGTGCATCCCATTTTATGTTATTTTATTTTTTTAAATATATATATTTTTTATTGATTTTAGAGAGAAAGGGAGAGGGAGAGAAAGATAGATACATCAATGATGAGAGAGAATCATTGATCGGCTGCCTCCTGCATGCCCCCCCACTGGGGATTGAGCCCGAAACCCGGGCATGTGCCCTTGGCCAGAGTCGAACCTGGGACCTTTCAGTCCACAGGCCGACACTCTATCATACCGGACGGGCTGTACGCTTGTCTTTATCCTGTGACCCCAGGGGTCTTGGTGTTCCCTTCCTACTCTCAGCCCTCACTCCATCCTCAACGCTGCCCAGTGGCCATCACCCTGTCCTGAGGGGCATGGGTTTGGGCAGGGGGAGGGGCCCTGTCACTGTCGTTTAGCCCACCTGCAGGTGAGCACCTGGCGCTTCTCTGAGCAGGGCTCCAGGACCAGTCCTGGGAACTGATGAAGATGAACGAGAGCCAGCCAACGCCGTTCCGGACACGGCCACGCGGTTCAGAAATCACATCCGATGGCCACAGCGTCCGGAGAGGGCCCAGAAGATGCATCTGTTGTTTGCAGAGGAGAAACCTGAAAGCTATAGGTTCCGTTGACATTGTGAAGTGCCTGTCGCTGTGACAAAGCTGTTTACAAAACTGTAAATGGCCTCAGCGCTGGAGTCAATCCCCGGACCCACCATCTGTCTGTGGGGGCTGGGGCCTGATGGGGACAGTGGCCACAACGGGTCCCACCGGGCTAAGGTCCTGGGGGAGCTCAGACCCTTCCAGCGACGGCTGGAGCCTAGCGCCCCCTGGTGGCACTCTGCGGGCCTCATGAGAGGCGCCGCCTGGGACCCGCCAGGAATTCAGCTTCCTTCATCTGGGAGGTCAGAGTCCAGGACCAGAGAGAGGCAGGGGCTTGTGGAGACAGAAGCACCTCCATATTTGCTGTGTGGAAGGGAAGGTGTCTGGGGAAGCATTGTTGTTCTTGTTGCCGGAAATCAGAATGGAGAGGAACAAGCAGAACCGATGCTTCCTCATCGCCTTGAAGAAAATCAAAGCTCCGACTCCTGTGGCATCGCCTCAGTCCTCACCCCTCCTGCCCCAAACTCCTCTCCGAACACACACTCTCCGCGTCTGGACCTGGGACAGCAGGACGGCAGGGGCGAGAGGTCCTTTTCGTCCTTCTCAGGCTTCTGTATGTGGTTCAGGCACAGCCCGCGGCTGCTCCTTGGCCTGGGTTGGGGACGGGACACAGAGCAGGGAGACGTGGAGGCCGCTGAGGCAGGGAATCCAGGCCAAGACAGTCCTAGACAGCAGTGCGATCTCGGGCAAGTGTCTTCGCCTCGGTGAGCCTCATGTGTCTCAGCCAAAAACTGGGGAAATGATAGCAAAACTTTGACAGCCCCACTTAGAAAAAGAGAGTCCGGATTTTGGAGGCAGACTTTACTTCAAACCCGGAATCTACCACGGACGGGTTATGTCAGACTGAATGGCTCTGAGCCTTGGTTTCTGAATCTGTAAAATGGGTTGTTGCAGGGACTCAGGGAGGTGATGGAACGGGGAGCACTCGGGGAAATTCAAGGCTTTACCAATGATGCTGATTTATATCGCTCAGCCCCCTGGGATGGGGCTCTGAGGTGGCTACCAGAAATGGACACCCCCGTTCTACAGAGCCCAGGCCCATCCGTTCTAATTTGCATCCTACACACCAGGCAGGGAGTGGGTTTCTCCTTCCCCGCGCCCCCACTCCTTTTCATCTTTCCCGGTTCCCTGAGGCACCTCTCCCCTTCTCCCCTTGCTCTAGGAACAGACTGGAAAGGGAGTCTGGAGTCTCATCCCTCGCCCCTGGTCTCAGAACCCCAGCCTCAACCTTCGGCCCGAAAGAATCCATTGGTTACTTTGGGTTAATTCTTTTTTTTTTTTTTTAAAGGCTTATTTGTGTGGAGTTTACATTTTTAAAAAATATATTTTATTGATTTTTTTTTACAGAGAGGAAGGAAGAGGAGTAGAGAGTTAGAAACATCGATGAGAGAGAAACATCAGCCAGCTGCCTCCTGCACACCTCCCACTGGGGATGTGCCCGAAACCAAGGCACATGCCCATGACCGGAATTGAACCCGGGATCTTTCAGTCCATAGGCTGAAGCTCTATCCACTGAGCCAAACCGGTTTCAGCTGGGTTAATCCTTGGGAGGGGGTGCTATTCCAAGGCTTGCGATCAGGACCTTTCATTCATCCTGAGGTCCCGGAACCCTGTCCTCCGTGGACCAAGCCTGCTCTTGGCGCCCCATGGCAGATGGGGGCCCACAGGGGACTCATTGTAGCTCACTTTTCCCCCTAACACCGCTGAGCGTGGCGCTCACAGCACGGCCTGGCCCACCCTGTCCCTGGCCCCGGTGAGCTGCTGGAAGTTGCAGGTACCAGGGAGACGCCTGACTGGGGAGGAGGATGTGAGGGCTGGGGAGGAGGGTGTGAGGGCTGGGGAGGGAGAGGTTGGCAGGAGGCGGGGACTCCGGGGGGCTGAGGACTATAAAGGGGCAGGCGGAGAGCAGGGGCCATCCAGCCTGAGGCAGGTACTGCTTGGCCTCTTGCTCAGGACTCAGGGTGAGTGGGCTCAGCCTGCCCCAAGGTCTGGGGGCTCCCTGGCTCTAGGGCCTGGGATAGGGGTGGGGGAGGGAAGAATTGATGGTTTGCAGGACTGGGGGCCTCTGGAGACCGGAGGTGCTGTGTGCGTCTGGCTCTACACCTGGACAAATCTCGCACCTGGAAGAGCTGTCTTTGACTAGAAGATTGCAAATGTGCGTGTGGAATGGTTGGTGGTGGCTGTGGACACAAATGTGTGCGTGACTGACCTGGTGAGTGATTGGGACCCGTGTGTGTGTGTGTGTGTGTGTGTCCGGGACCATCTGTATCTGTATCTGGCGGGGGGGTGGGCAGTGGGTAGCAAACCTCAGGCTATTGATTTCTGTCTTTCGGCTCACACGTTCATTCTGTGTGTCCTGCCCTGTAGTGAGCAGGAGCACACTTCCCACCAACCCCTTCCTCCAACCCGCACCGCACACCTGCCTGCTCAGAGCCATCAGGCCACGGACATCCTGCTCCTGTGCCTCCTGCCCATGCCCCCTTCCGGGCTGAGCCCCGGCTGCTGCTGCTACGGAAGGAGCGGTTTCTGCTCTGAGGCGGTGTCTAGGCGGTGGGGCTCTTTGCTTTGCCCTCTGGGCCCCAGGCCCGGAGAAGCAGGTGGTGGGCGAGGGGGTTCTGCCTCCAATGCCCTCCCTCTCCTCGCTCCGCAGATGGCTGCCGCCCGCCGCTGCCTCTCCCTGCTGCTCCTGGCCACATGTGTGGCTCTGCTGCTGCAGCCGCCGCGGGGAGCCTCGGGGGCCCCGCTGGAGCCCGTGTACCCCGGGGACCACGCCACGCCGGAGCAGCTGGCCCAGTACGCCGCTGAGCTCCGCAGATACATCAACATGGTGACCAGGCCCAGGTGTGTGCCAGGGGCAGGGGGGGGAGGGTCCCAGCTCCTTGCCCCTTCCACAGTCTCCGGGAAGCAGAACCTCTCTACTGACCAGGCCTGGGCCCCTGGGCCCCTGGAGGATGGCACCAAGGGCGGGCAGGAGGCAGGTGAGCTGGCACCTGGGTGCAGTGCCAGCCTGCCCCAGCTGCCTCTCCCCTCCCAGGTACGGGAAAAGAGACCAGGAGGAAACGCCGCTGAACCAGGAGTGGGGAGCCCCCGACGAGGTTGCCCCCAGGTAGGTTGCCCTGCATGCCAGCTCCCTGGGGCTGAAATGGGGGTGGAGGTGAGTTGCGGGGCGGGTAGGGGGAGTACAGAGGCCCAGGGTCTGCCTGAGGTGTCCTGGGGGCATGAGGACTGCCCACTCCCACTGCCACGCTCTGCCCTCTCCCACAGGGAGCTCAGCCAGATGGACGCGTAAGCCGCCTCCTGCCTCCTCCGACTCCGAGGGCAGTGCCGGCCCGGATCTCCCCTCCACACCCTCGGCTCTGCCCAAAGCTTGCTCCCCGCTCCCACACGGGCTAAATAAAGCAAATCAAAGACATTGCCTCTCTCTGTGTGTCTCTGTGGACCCCTGGTGCATCAGGAGTAGCCAACGGCAGGAGAGACAGCGGGAGGGGCGGAGGGGAAGAGAAAGAATGGTGCTAGGCATGATCAGAACATCCATGGGGTCATCAGAGACGTTCGGCTCAGCTCCGCTTCACCGAGGGGCACGCTGTGGCCCACGGGGAGGCAGTGGCTCCCCCAGGTCCCTCAGCCAGTCAGTGACCAGGCACTGGAGCCTGAAGCTTCCATTTCAGCACCTCCAGGCTCTCCTGGTCATCGGCCCAATCGCAGCCCTGTGCCCAAACGTGCCCCCGCCAACTCTTTCCTGGAGTTCAGTGTCCTTGGCATGGGGGCCGGGGACTGCCCAGCCCAGAGGAACGACTGGAGCAAAGACAGTCACTGGCTGCGTGATGGCACCAGAGCTCCCTCCCCCGGGCAGGTCGCTGTGCGTGTCCAGATGGAGCACGTAAGGGGATGCTAGGCTCAGCAGAAGCCTGGCCCAGGCGGGGGATGGTGATGGGGAGGGGTCTGGAGACGGTGTCACGTGTAAGTGGTCGGGAAAAGGAGCCTACTGTGTGCCAGGGTTATTCAGCCCTCACAACAACCCTGTGAGGATGGTAACGGTTATCCTCACCCTGCAGAGGAGGAAACCAAGGCTGAGAGACGTACTGCGGTTTGTCTGAGGTCCTGCCGTGGACGGCATTCTAGCAGAGGGATCTAGCATCGGCGTTAGAGTCTGCAGGAAGCCATCGCTTGCTGATGCTGCCAGTGCACCAAGGAACTCGGAAGGCAGATGGGCCTTAGGTGTTAGCAGGGCTGATTGCTAAGCACCAAGTGTTGAGATAGTGATGGCTCAAGGCAATTCCCTAACTTGATAATCCTTTGACTGGATACCAAACTTTACCTTTGCTATGCCTGTGTGCATTGCTAGAGGGCAAGATGTGAATCTAAAAAGCAGATGGGACCCAGTCTTAGGGGTGTCTCTTCAAGAAAGAGGCCTCCACCTGGCGCCCCCCCCATCCCTTCTAAATTCATATTTCTTGTATAGAATGTTCATTTCTATACAAGCTGCATCGCATCGGCATGACACGGAATAATGCATGTGAAACATTTAGCACGGCCCTTGACCAGGTCAACGCTCAGGAAACGGGAGCTTGCACGGGGCAGGCTTGTGATGTAGTCATCGGCCAACCGGCTGTTTCCAAGACTATGTGGAAAGACCGCAGCGAGATGGCATGCTCTTCGAGCGTGGAAGGAGTGGGGAGAGGCCCATGGGGGCTCTGGAAGGCAGGCTTTGGGGGATTATAGGGAATATCCTTAAAGAACCAGAAATTTGGAGAGAACTTGTCCTGAGAAGTGTGAACTCCTGGGCGTAGGAGCCATTCAGGAGGGGAGGCGAGGAGCTGAGAGGGGAGGGGAGGCCGTGGAGAATTCAGGTTCCAGGGAGTGGGCTAATCTGTGGGGCGGGCTCAGAAGGGATCCTGCGTCTGGGGTGTGTGTGTGTGTGTGTGTGTGTGTGAGACTTGGAAGGAGGGGCTTGTCTCTTCCTCTTTCCTGGGCTAGGAGCACCTGTGAGTAAGGTAAAGCAGGAGAGGAGGGGGTGGGAGAGTGAAGTGAGAGACTTAGAACTTTCCTGGTTTCTGGGGTGGCTTCTCCTGCCCCCTCACATGCTCAGCCTGCAGAGATGGGGCCTATGGGCTTGGTGGATGAGGGGGACCTACCTTCCTGGGCTCAGCACCTCACACTGACCCCACAGCCATGGCACCACATCACGTTTCCCCTCCCGTCTGGCTGTGTCTGGTGCAGGCAAATGGCCTGGGAGTGGGACCAGGCCCTAAAAGGCAAAGGGCTGGAGAGGATGCAGCTGCCAGGCAGAGGCACGGCTCAGGCTGGTTCCTCAGTCCCAGGGCGGGTCTGGGAGGGCGGCTGGTTTCGGCAGATCAGAGTTTGGGTCTGGAGGATGGATCCTGAAGTCCCGCCCCAGAATTTTCTCTGGCAGCGGAGAGGCTGGGTTCCGAGTAGGGAGAGGTGTAGACACTTCCCAGTAACAAGAATTAGGACCCTGCCCAGGACACACCTGTGGGTTGGATCTGCCCCTGCCCAGGCCTCGCTGATGGCCACCAGCGTGCGGAGGAGAGTGCCACCCTCCCACCAGCTTCTCAGGAAGAGGCCTGGCTGCCCCCCGCCCCCCTGCTTGCTGCCAGTGGGGCGGAGAGGGTCCTGGATTAAGGGGCTGCCTCTTGTCCCTGTACCCACCCCGACGCCCTGGGCCGCCCTGCTCGGTATAGAAACTTGGGGTGGCGGCCTGGCTGGAGCCCCTCCTCGGAGGTTGCTGGAATGAGCTTCTCTCCCTCTGATCTGCCTCCCCTGGCAGTGGGGTACCTGTGTGAGGTGGATGGGCTGCAGGGAGCCGGCAGGGAGGCCCCTAAAGCTGAGGTCCTTTTCTCAGCAGGGGCGCCGGGGTCCCCTCTCCCTGGAAGGACAGTAGTTTTCTCCTGTCCGGGGCCCACAGGAGTCGCGGAAGCAACAGACATTCTATTTCTCTTTATTGTTCTCGCTGGGGAAGGGGAGGGGGTGGGTGGGAGGAGTGAGGGCCCCTCTCATAAAAAATATAAAGGAGATGGGGGGGGGGGGGCGCGGAGACTGGAGTCGGCATCTGGAGGTGGAAGCCGAGCCTGGAGACCCTGCGGCCCAGGTCTTCCTCCCGGTCCCGCCCAATCTGCCCCCGGTTCCGAGGCTCCTGGCCGGCGGCTGTGCCAGGCTCTCCCCCCGGGGACCTAGGAGGAGGTCGGGGGTCCGGGCTGCGTGGCGTTCCGCGGTGGGGGGCTCGTGGAATCCAGCGGGTTCGTGGGGTTCGGTGGGGGGAGGGTCGTGGCGTCCACTGGCGGGGCTTCGGTGCTGTTGTCGGCTTTCTGGGGGTTTGTAACGTCTTGAGGTTTCTTGGCGTCCTCGGATTTCCCGCTGCAAAACACGTCTTTGCAGAAGCCTGGGGCTGCGGTGCGCGGGGCGGGAGGGCGCGGGCAGGGGGCGCCTGTGTCCTCCCCTCCCCGCCCCGCCCCCCTCCCTCCGGCTCCCGCCGCGCCCCTCCCTCCGGCTCCCGCCGCCCCCCCCTCCGGCTCCCGCCGCGCCCCGCCCCCCGGCTCCCGCCGCCCCCGCCGCCCCCCCCCTCCGGCCCCCGCCGCCCCCCCCCTCCGGCTCCCGCCGCCCCCCCCCCTCCGGCTCCCGCCGCCTCCCCCCTCCGGCTCCCGCCGCCCACCTGCTGTAGAACTTCTCGACGTACTCGCCCGTCCGGCCCACGGTGCTGAGCCAATAGGCCGCCCGGGGCGGCGGGGCCGCGGCTGCAGCTCCGCCCCCAGCGCCTCCTCCGGCGGCTGCGGCGCCGCCAGGCACAGCAGCGCCAGTGCGCACGCGCAGCGCAGGGCCTGGAGGGGGCGGGGCGGACACACGTTGACCAGCGCCGGTGGGGACATCCAGATGCCCGGCCCAATGGTGCCCCCCTTAGTGACGCCCACAAAGTACCAGGGAAGCCGGGACCCGGAGGATGGATTGTGAGGCAGCCCTGAGATGGACACACTCACACTCACACACACACACACTCATACACACACTCACACACACACACACACACACACACACACACACTCATACACACACTCACACTCACACACACTCATACACACGCACACTCACACACACACATATACACACACTCACACATGCATACTCACACACTCATACACACTCACACCCACACACTCACACACGCGCACAAACACACTAACACACACACACTCACATACACACACACACACACACACACACACACACACACACACGAGGATGGCACAGCCGTTGGCCAACTCCTTGACCTCACTGACCTCTCTCGTAAGCCCTTGCTCACCCTGCTTCAGCCTCTCCTGCCTCCTGGCTGTTCCTTTAAAATGCCAGACAGGTCGTTCTCTTCCTGGAAAACTCTCCAGACATCCTCATGGCCAACTAACATCCTTGCCTCCTTCAGGCATCAGCTCAAAATTCAGCTTCCTGTGAGCCCTACTCTGACACCCTTAAATTTTTTAAAGTTTTTATTGATTTAGAGAGAGAGAGAGAGAGAGAGAGAGAGAGAGAGAAGGGAAGGGAGAGGGATATATAGAGAGAAACAATGCTGAGAGAGGAACATCTTCCATGGGCCGCCTTCTTCCCACCCCCTACTGGGGATGGAGCCTGCAACCCAGGCTTGTGCCCTGATGGGAATCAGCCCCTCTTGGTTCCTGGGTTGGTGCTCAACCACTGAGCGACATCAGACCCGTGGGCCTGAACCCCTACTTAAAAAACTGCAGCCTATCCATTCACCTTGCTCTACCCCCCTCTACCCCACTCTGTTCCACCTTCTAACTTATTATATTTTGTGCTTCAAATTGCCTTTGTCCCTCTTAAGTGCCCCCCCACCCCCACCCATGTACGCACCATGATAGCTGGGCTCTTTGCCCCTTTTGGTCACTGATGTATCACAGGAACTCAGAACAGTGCCTGACAGTAGTGCTAAATAATACAGGTTAAGTGAATAATTACTAACATAGTTACATACACCCCAGCCAAGCACAGAGTTCTGTGCCGGCACACGCAGCAACTCACATATTATGATGCCCATGAACATGATACAACCTCCCCACCCCCTCCCTGAGCCCCGGAGACATTTCTCTCTTGACCAGAAAACCCTCTCATCCCCACCACCCAAAGCCGGGACAGAAAACCCGGCAGCTGTCCTGGCCATGGGGCGGGCAGAGGGGGCTGCCCCGGCCTCAATCCTTCATGCCTTTAATGCCCTGGGGAGGGGCATTTGGTGCCAGCGTCCATGCCCACGACCGGGGAGAAGAC